TTTTTTTTTTTTTTTCTTTTTTTTTTTTTACATTTGTCTTTTTTTTTTCTTTTTATAAAAAGCATAGAAAATAATTCATAAGTATATTAAACAAATTCATAGGTCCAATGTCATACAAAAATATTTGAAATAAGTCATTTTTGTTCATTATTATTTTATGTAACTCAGATTGATGTTTTAGTAGTTCATAAATAATTTCTTTATGTTTATTTACTTGCTTCGTATATTGCAACATTAAAGAAAAAAAAGTTTTACAACGTACTGTTGTAAAACTTTGTTAATCCTAGCATTTGGTCTTCCAAGCGAATTTCCTTGAACACATTGATGACAGATTGGAAGAAAAAAGTACACAAGGTGCCGTAATACTATTATAAAACACCACTTAAGAAGATGCCAGAGTAATAGAAGGGAAATGTCTACCTTCACCAAAACTATTTATCTCTTAAAGTTCCCATGCGCCTGCTCTGATGCATCAACATGCAATACCTGCATGCATTGAAATAAATCCATCCTTCCATCCTTCAATGTCCTCTGCTTGATAGCAACCATTGATTAATGTTGCATGTTGCTTTAGTTTAAATCACTGCAGGTGACAAATAACGAAGCATCACAAAACTAATGAACCTTTTGTCTATTCAAGCTATACGTTTTTTTCACAGACATGGGCCTAAAATGTTCACTATTATGTTTTTAGGTTGATTAAAAGGTTACATGACGCGTGTGATCTCTGCACTTGTATCTACGTTTTTAATAGTCTAATGCCTGTACAGAAGAGATATCGAGTAATAACATCAAGCTTTCTAAGACCCTCCATAAAAATAGACCGAAATTTCCATAGCCTCACAATATTCAAGTAAACGTATTAGCTAATATCTGTTAGAACTTATATGCTAATATTCTTTACATTTCTTAAAAAAATACTAAAAAGACCATTCAAAATGAAACCTAAAAAGGTGCTTGTATATGTAAGCTGGGGCTAGTTTTGACTTATGGAAGATTAATTGTTCAGTTTTGGAACTGCAACCTAGCACATCCCCTAATATGATGGATGCGTTTCATCTCCACATATCATACAAGTCCTGACTACAGTAACAGTCAAATTCATTTGGCTCTGTTTAGTCAAAACACCCTGGATATGCTAAAAGAGTGCCTATTTCTCCCAGGCAGCGGGAATGTGCAGAAATCGGCTTATATATGGACTTTCTTTTGAATAAAAGCGATACACGAGACTAAATTAGCACGTGCATATAGGCCGGCTGGCCCTCTTTGGGGTGGGACTATATGGCTGACTCCATGTTCTCGCTCCAGGCGTGGTCATCTAGGTTGTAAATGAACTTGGTGCGGTTGGAAGGGTTCTGTGCAATGTCCTTGCCCAGGTTGTCCAGGGTGAGGTTGGAGGCGAACAGCTGGCTTGGGGTCAGGTAGTCCTCACAGTTCTTAATGTACCTGGAGTAGTTCTGACGCAGACACTGCCAGGTGACGGCATAGAGAATGAAGGCGCTGGATTTGAGAACGATAGCGATGCTGACGTAAAGGTAACGGTAGGTTATGTTGTCGTAAAGCATGCAGGCCCCTTTAATGCCACATACGGAGCTCCATAGTAGGCAGGTGGAGTCAATCCCGATGCCGAAGATCAGAGGTGGAGGAATGAAACCTGGAACGTGGAAAACATGGCTCAGTGTGACTGTACTGTACTTGTTTTTAATACTTATTTCCAATGTCCTGATAAGATTTTTGCTTTCATGCAAATTTGTTACCATTCAAGAGTTTTTCATTTTGAAAGAAATCATTTTATTTGCCAAGAATGCATCAAAAGTAACAAGTAAAGACATTTTTAATGTCGCAAAAGATTTCTGTTTCAAATAAATGCTGTTCTTTTGAACTTTCTATTCGAAGAATCCTTATGAAATGTATCACAGTTTCCACAAAAATATTAAGCAGCAATGTTTTTCAACACTGAAAAAAAAATGTTTTCTTGAGCACCAAATCATATTATAATGGTTTCTGAAGGATCATGTGACACTGAAGACTAGAGTAATGGCTGCTGAAAATTCAACTTATATTAATTCAAAATATATTAAAATACAGTTTATTGCACTACTTATTGCAAGTGATCAAATCAGATTTGTGTATCCAGACATAACCAATCTATCTGCATGGGTTTCTTTGGTAATATAGGTGCACCCACGTATGTGACAAGGCTTTCAAAAGGGATGCAAAAAAAAATGTGCTTCATCTTGCTCTCCAAATAAGCAACCTGTTTTCGTTGCGGTACAGAACTCCTTTGTCGCACAAGAAAACTGGTATATATATATATATATTGTGATGTTCCATGCTGTAGTCACTGTATGAATCCTCAGCATTTCCGTCACTGGTTTTGACATTATAATTGTGTGTTGCGTTAAGTGACGCAAAAGACCATTTGAAATCTGATTTGAACAGCCAGAGCATCTAGACTGAGATGCATCTGTAAAAACCAAATGTGGTTTGATTCAGATTCGAAAAATCACATTTCATCCACACTGGATAAAATATGGATATGCAAAGAATCCATTTTTTCCTGGCAGTCTAGAACACAGCCTAAGAGACTTCTTTCAAAATCATTAAAGAATCTTACAGACTCAAAAAATTATTTTAAATGGTAGTGTGTACTGTGTATGTGTAGTGTAACCAAACTATAATATTATAAAGATGCATGCTTAAAATAATTGTAAACAAATTGTAAAATTATCCTGCAGAGACACTGTAGGTGTTACTTGTTTTGCAAATATATTACCCAGCAGCCGGAGCAACAGGAAGAGAACTCCAAGAGCGTATGACTTTAGCTCTGGGCTCACAGTTCTACAGACAACAACAACTGATGGTTTAGTACATTATAGTTCATTATGATGTGCAGATGACAATTTGACCGATTAAGATTCATTAACATTTTTTTTTTTTAATTCAGTGGATGTCAGCAGCATTACCTGATCAGGATGATGACGGATGGAGTCTGGGCCATGGCTCCGATCATGCTGCATGCACACACGACTGCTAAGAACGTGAGGAAGGCCTGCTGACAGCCTGGGTTGGAGCACTTCCCCGGCATGGCTGTACCAGGCCCGTCGCCATGGGCGATGCACTTACAGCCTGTCAGATTCTGAGAAAGAGAGGAGGGAGAGCAGATCTGAGTGCATATTTCATGATGGATCTTAAGTGC